AGATTTATTAAAACAAATTAATTCAAATTTAGAAGGATTAAGTTTAAGACACATAGAGTCACACCAAGCTATAATTGAAGAAAGACATAGAGATAAATTATGAAGAACACTATTGAGATTAGATGGAGGAAAAGAAGTATAAATGTAAGAATCATCAGCATATAGTTGACTAAAGAAAGAAAAGTTATTAATAATACGAGGTAGTTCAGAAGTATAGAGTATAAATAGAAGAGGGCCAAGGATAGAACCCTGAGGTACCCCGAAAGTAAAAGTAGAGGAGTTAGAAGTAGAATTGTTGAGAACAACAGAAGAAAAACGATTACAGAGATAAGAAAAAAACCAAGATAGACAAGAATCAGTAATATTAAAAGAAAGATGCAGCAGTCTCAAGAGAATAGTGTGGTCAACAGTATCAAAATCTGAGGAAAAGTCAAGAGCAAGAAGAAGAGTAAGATTACTATTGTCACTAGAGAGAAGGATATCATTGTGTATTTTAAGTAAAGAAGTTTCACTACTGTGAGCAGGTCTGAAACCAGATTGAGATACAGGTAGCAAGGAGTTAAAGTTTAAATAGGATGACAGTTGATTAAAAACTACTTTTTCTATTATTTTAGAGATGCAAGTAATATTAGTTACAGGTCTATAATTAGATAAAGAGGTAGGATCTAATGATGAGTTTTTAAGAATAGGAATAACAATAGAATTCTTATAAGAAGTAGGAAATTTAGAGGTGGAAAGAGATAAATTAACTAATTTGAGAATGATTGGATAAAATATTGAAGAAAATTCTTTAAGTTAATTAGAAGGAAGTAGATCTAGAGAACAGGTTGTAGACGACATAGAATTAATAATTTTAGTTCTAAAAGATTTATTGGAGTAAATACAGAAAAAGATTCAGTAGTAAGTTTAGTAAAGTTATGAGAAGAAAAATTAGAATTAGATGTTCTTAAAGAAATAATTTTATTTACTAAAAAGTCATGAAACTGTTGAGCAGAAAAAGATGAGTGAGAGGATTTTTTATGTAGAAGTTTAGATAGAACAGACCATCTATTTTTAGATGTTGAAGCAGATGTTATAGAATTTTTAAGAAAAGTAGAGTGTTTAGAGAATAGTAGATATTTATAATTAATCAATTCAGATTCATAGATAGAATAAAGAGAGTTAGATGGATTTAACCTATAGGCTTTCTCCAGTCTTTTAACACTTTTCTTGGCTACTACACAAGCATAATCAAACCAAGGAGCCTTACGAGAATAGAGCCTATAAGTAAAAGATTTAAGAGGAATAAGTTTATCAAGGATAGAAGTAATGTAGATATTAAAAGCATAGACAAAATAATCAACGTCAAAAAATAAGGTAGTATCAAAAATAGTTTCAGTAAGAGATTGAAGAAAAATATCTTTATTAAGAGAAGACCAGCATCTTTTAGAAATGGACATAGATGAATTTGAAGGAAGAAAATCTAATGAAAAAACAGATTCAATAAGAAAGTGATCAGAATAAAGAACAGAGCTAGCAGAGATATTAATAGGCTTAGAAAAAGATGAGGCTATAATAAAATCAATAGTGTTACCAGAAGTATGGGTAGGAAAAGAACAATATTGAGTTAAGTTAAAAAGAGACAAAATATCATTAAATCTACGGGTGTAAGAACATGATAAATTATTGAAGTGCAAGTTGAAATCACCAGAGATGTAGAAAGGAATAGAAAAAGAGTAGAGAGATTCAGCGAGTGAGTAGAATTCATCTAAAAATGAAGTGTGAGAAGAAGGAGGGCGATAGATTACAGCAATATAAAAAGATAGAGTAGAAGACTTAAGAGATACAGCAAGACATTCTAAAGAAGAAAAATTAAAGGAAGTATTAACGGAAGCAGTAAATAGAGATTTATAAAATAGACAGATACCCCCATAAGAAGAATGAGAAGATGATAGAAGATTTTTTGGAGGTCTAGAGAGTTCAAAGAAGCTGTAACCATCAGGAATAGCAAGAATAAGAGAGGGAGAGTTAGAGTCCTCGTGCCAAGTTTCAGTAAGAGTAAAAAAATCAGGTAAGGAGGAAGAGATTATTTGATGGATATAGAGCGATTTTTTATTAATTGATCTTATGTTAATATTAAACAGTGAAAATGTAGAGGTAGGTTGGATATTGGTACTTTTAAATCTAGTTATATTATTTAAACTAATAGAATTAGAATTATTATTCTTATCATTATTATTAATTACATTAGAGTGGGATTTAATAAAATTATTCTTATTATACTTGCTATTAGCATTATTATTATTAATATTATAATTATGGTTACTAACTATATTTATTTTTTTGTTAGAGCTAGATTTATTGTTTTTATTGTTATTATTAGACCTAAGATTAAAGTAAAAATCTAAATTTAAAGTAAAATTATACAACTTGTAGTTGAACTATAAGTTGAATAATGCCTAAAACGCAGTGATCTTTATAAATAATTGTATTTATGATAGTCTAAACCCAAAATATATGTATATTTATATACACATATACATATATGTAATATGTAATAAAAAAAACCCTCCTACGCTAGAAACTCAGTAGATTCCATAAATTACTGCACATATATAATTAAAAATGTCATCAATAAAAAGTTAGATCTACGCTGTAATTATGATTTATAAAAAGAATTAATTAAAATCTAGTTAAAAATTATGTAATTAAGATCTAATTAAAAATGTCATCAATAAAAAGTTACAACGTATGAACCAAAACAACAACAACAATAATAATATTGTCACCATTATCAACAATAACCATATTAATATGGTCACCATTATCAACAATAACCAATAACAACAACAATAACAATAACAACCGATAATAATATTAACAACAACAATAACAACAATTGTAATGACACTAACAACAACAACAATAACCAAAACAATGATAATATCAATAATAATACCAACTACGATAATGTCATTAACGCAAACAACATCAACGACAACAATAACAGTAATAATAATAACACCATTATACTATTTTATCGAAATTTCATGTCTTCGTCCTATAAAACTGATGAAAAGATCATGAATAAGATAATCCATAATAATATTAAACCAACTAACCCGAACGATAGAATAAAATTAAGAATCTTTCACAAAAACTACAAAACATCTAACCTTTTAACTTTGAATAATTGCCAACCTCACAACACTTCCCTTTTGAAACATAGCCATCTCATATAAAAATTTTCTTGTCCTCTTGACGACTGTGCGCGTCTTCATACTTCCTATATAGGAATGACTACTACAACACTACCGCGTAGACTCACTAAGCCAAAAGAGACGGTGCAATAAAAAACCGTCTTGAAACTTTCCACAACACCCCAATAATTAGGAACCTTCTAGATAACAACACAAAAATTCTAAACAACAATCAACAGCACTAAAACCTAAGAATTGCAAAAGTCATTTTCATCGAATATGAAAAACCTTCCACCAACATCTAACAACGAATAACACTTCCAACTCGAAGAATGAACAACAATAATGTTAATCGGACCAACCAGCGGCAATCTAACAATGATGATAATAACAATAACGATAATAACAATAACACCGTCAACAACAACAACAATAATAATAATAACTATAATGAGAACATCCGTTTATTTTCATTTTAAAATATACATTGTAATTATAAAGTTAAAATAATGAAACTTGTAATGTAAATTATATAGATATTCTACAATCTACATTGCTCGCCATACATTTTAAATGGGCACAAAGAGAAATAGAATCAGCATTAAATTATGTTCAAATCGTGTTACTATCACAGTAAATTGTGTAAGATGACGATACTACAGAATTAATTAAACTTCTATGAAAAAGGTTTGACCAAATAAAATTAATTAATGATAGTTTAAAATATTAAAAAAAAACTAGCGGAAAAATTTCAAATGAATTTATTATATCAATTCGTATAAAAAATTATTAAGATTTTGAAAGTATTCTGATGTTTTATATTCCTTAGATTTAGAAAAGTTAGATTCGTGGCAAACTGTTAATTCTATTATTTCGATAGTATCACCTCGTCGAATGGCAATATCTGGACGAAGTGATTTAAAGAGAGATGATACTGGAAAGTATTTGTTGCAGTTGGAATCAATACATCGTACCTGCAAATGATTGAATTTTTTCTAAAATCATCGATAGTATATTGTTGTGACGTGTTGTATATCTTTTCAGGGACAAACTGGTATGTATAAAATAATAATAATAATTATAATAATAATATTAAACATTTTATTTCATTTCAACCTCCTTGCGCTAAAAACAATAATAATAACAATAGCAATTATAATAATGCGAACTCTTTTATTTTATAGCAAAGACACTAAATAATTATAATAATAAAATAATGAAATGTCACAATAATGTAATAAAATGTCAATGATTGCCAAAATGCTCATTTTTAGAAAAAGTACATAGCGTTGAAGTATATTCACATGTATATCACAAATTGTTTCTGTCACAATATATGCCATACGATAGCTTTATAACTGTCTCTATCAATTAATTCATCGTTAAAAGAATCTGGCCACAAAATTTTAAAAAGTGAAAGATTAAAATTATTATAAAAAAACCTATTGGTGATATTTCAAAAGTATTTATAATTATTGAGCAGTGTTTATAGTTGTCATTTAGATAACTGTGCAAATTGTCTGAATATTTTTTGATCTTGTATTGCCTGGATGATTCAAGATTTGTTTCATGACAAACCGTTAACTCTAAGATCTCTACTGTGTTGCCTAGTAGTATGGCGACGTCAGGTCGTAGAGTGTTGAACAGATCGTAATAATGAGAACTCTTTTATTTCTTCATAAGCCAAAATATAAGTAAAAAAAAGAAATTACAATTAAATATAAAATGATCAATTATTATAATAGTTAAAAGATTAAAATAATGGATAATTTAACATCAATGAATGTGTACAAGGATGATAAAATAATATAAAAACTAGAGTCAAGCTTTATTTCTGTGACAATATATTGCGTAAGTGGATGCTATCGCAGAATTGATTAAGCTAGATCTAAAATCGTCACGCCAGTTTATTTTAGTTTGAGATAAATTGAAAGAATTATAAAGACCTATTGGCGAAATTTCAAAAGTGTTGATTAAAATATTGAATGCTTAAAATCGTTCGATAGGTTATTCTTGAGGTTGTACTTGTACTTATCCACTTTGTAGTTTCTTGATTTGGTGTAATTGGTTTCATGACAGACTGTTAGGTTCCAGTATTTCAATAGTTTTTTTGTACAAGATTGCTATGTCTGGTCTGAGCGAGGTAAACAGTTGCGACACAGGGCGGATCGATTCTTCTTCGATATCGCAAAAATGATTGCTCCAGGCGCGATGCATGATTTGATGTTGTACAAGATGATGGCAAGTATTTTATTGTGGCGATTTAAGTACCTAGCGAGTGCAGATGGCGAACCACAGTTTGATACTACATGCTTATTTGTTTCCTTGGCGTTATGCTGCGTTGTTCGTTTTTTTCCATTTGACTAGGTTAGCGTTGGTTGGTAGTTGTTGAATGAGATATTTTCTTGTGAATTTGTATAAAACATCTGGCAGGGATTTTGTTGCATTAGCCCAACGGGTGATCTCTGAGTCGTGAATGTTTTCCTTAATCGACTTTATCAATGTTACTTGGTATTGTAGCGACGATAGATGGTTGAAGTCATTTTGGTGTTGACGCTGTTTCAGTACGTTGCACGCCATTTGAATATTGTTGCTTTAGATTTGGTTGTCGACTTTTCTGTATTCGTTCTTTGATTCCTGCCACAGAACTCTCATTTCTTCCCTGGTGTTTGTTTTTAAGTGTCCCCGAAGTTTTAATTTCATTAGTTCTGTGTGATGTTTTAGCGATTTTATGTTTAACCCTCCACTTTTGTAAGGCAACGACAAAACTTCAGCAACACAACTACTTACGGGAAGAGACAACCAGTCTCTTACAGCTTCGCATATCAACGGGTCTAAGCTGTTACCTATCCAAGTTAGCGAAATATCATATAATCGCAATTGGAATGATAATTGAGACGGAATGAAGCGACGTAGAATTTGAAGTTTCCATTGAGCTGTTGTATTCAAGTCGCTGATTACTTGCAGCATATCCGTTAGCTTCTTTTGGAGTATCTCTTTTTCCTTGACGTTTTTGCACTCAAAATCATAAGATTTACCCAGATACTCAAATCTGTCATCGACGCCTATCTGAGGTATTGTTTCGTCGTCTATTGTTAGCTTCGGCAGAAATTGTTCATATGCGCCATCCCGCTTTCGCATCCCGAATGTGCAACACTTGTCGACTCTTATCTTCATGCCAGACCATTTGCACCAGGATTGGTTGAGATTGATTAGAGTCTGAGCACCATCAGAGCTGTTTGTTATAATAGCTGTATCGTCAGCGAATTGCAGCCATGCTCTGGATTTTAGATTAGCCGCAGGGCCCCATAGGTATCCACATTGTTCATATTCTTTTTTTTTCAACATCCCCCTTAGAAGGTTGAAACAGAGGTTGAAAAGAAGAGGTGAACTGGGGTCACCCTGCAGCACTCCACGTTTCACAGGGATTGGTAGAGTTAACTGCTCGCGTACTGATACTGTTGTTGAATAGTCAGCATAAATAGAATCAATTAAGTTGCACATCTGGTCCGGCATATGATGGTATTTTAGAACAGATGAGATCGTGACTAACCTCACCAAACGCATTTCTGAGATCTAGAAGGGTGACGATGATCGTTCGATGATGTTTTTTCGCATCTTTCATCAGGTGGGTAAGTAGATGAGTGTGTTCCGTCACTCCGTCCAAGGTGTTGATGAAGCTGTTGTTTTCCAGATATTTGTGTATTCTGTTGTTGACGCATGTAGAAAAGATCTTGTAAAGAACCGGTTGGAGCGTTATCGGTCTAAAGTTAGCTGGGTCATTGGGGTCACCTTTTTTATAGATTAAAATGGTGAAGCCCTTTCTCCAACAGGATGGAATCGTAGCAGACCTCCAGCATTCGACTATTAATTAGTGAAGGATTGTGCGCAGCATAGGGCATTTTTTGAAGACAATTATTGAGATTTGATCGAGCGAACAGGGGGATGCTCTAAGTTTGCATTTTCTAATGACTGTTGCTATTTCGTGGTATGTTGGGGGGTCGATGTTGCATGGAATTGTTGGTTGTTGCAATGTTGGAACCCAGTTCGGAAGGTGAAACTTATTGTGAAATGGATCGTGGAGTATGTTGTAAAAATATTTCTTGCAGTCGTCGATGCTGAATGATGGGGTTAAGCTGTTTGATGGGTTGAACAATTTTTTGCATGTTGACCAGAATTTTACTTTCAGTTGTTTTGTTATGTCGACATGTTTCTCAGTTTTTGCATTTTTCATTGATAACAGTTCTGTTCTTATTTGTTTGCTTATTGTGCTGATTTTCATGTCGAAACTGTGGTCGTTGCGGCCAAGTAATTTTAACTGCTTTAGGTCCTTCTTCATGTTTTTGACTGTTTTATTGGGGTGTTGTGTTGTCGATAATTTTTGTTGCTTTACCGTGCCGTAGTTGGATGCAAAATAATTGTAGATCAGTGATTGGAATGATGTGGTGAAATTGTTGATGTCGGATACATTTGGTAAGGACGTTCTGTGGAGTTGGAAGTATGTATTTGCTTCCGTCCAATGTTTTAGGGTCTTAGGTATTTTTATTCCAATGAGAGGAGTTTCCATGATGTTGCTGTCCAACCTTTCAGGGAATGCTTGTTCGCGTTGTGGTGGTGGCGACAGTTCCAAATTTTTGTCAGATTTCTCTGGAGTTTCTAGTGCATTCCTAAGGTTTTTAAACATTTTGCAAGTACGTTGGTGTAATTTCAAGTCCTTCCGACCCTTGCAACTCTTGCCACAACAACATGGAATTAAATTATTATCATTATTAGTTAAAATATCGTTACTTTTAGAACTATTAAAAATGTTAAGAGATATCACAATATTACTTTTTGGTGAACTGCGTATATTAAAATTGTCATTATTATTCAACGTTGTTTTAGTGCACCTCCAGAAGTGTCTTCCTACATTTACAAACTCATTAAAACAATGTGGACATTTACCAGCGTTAACAGTTGAAATTATATTTAAAAGCAAAATAAAACTAAATAAATATTTAAAATTAGATTTTATTAAAACTAGCTTAACCGACAAAATTTTCCGCATCTTTACATTTAATTTTTATATTATTAAACTTTATAAAACCAAATTAAAGTAGGTAAAAACATTGAGCAGACTAAAATCGACCGACTCTCATGTTTACACGATACAATGTAATAATAATAATAATAATAATAATGTGAACTCTCTTTTATTTCTAGAAAAATATGAAATATAGTAAAATGAGATAAAAGTCTAATTAAAATCTAATAAAATAAAATAAAATAAATAAATTGATTTAAATTAAATTAAATACAATAGTATTCTACGATGCTCATCATTTGAAATAAACGAGTACAACGAGCTATGATGATGTTATTGCGTTCACAGTAGATGGCATAAGATGACGGTATTACAGAGTTAATAAGGTTATTATAAAATTGATCTGACCAAATGTTATTGATTAATGATAAATTTAAAAAATTGCAAAAGCCCAATGTTGAAATTTCAAAAGTATTAACTATTATTTTCAGGTGTATTGAATTGTCATGCAAATTATTTTTGAGATTTTCTGAGTATTTGATAGTTTTATATTTTTTTGAGTTGAGTAGGTTGGATTCATGGCAGACCGTCAGCTCTAATATTTCTATCGTGTCGTCACAAAGTATTGCGATGTCAGGACGTAGGGATTTGAAGAGCAAGACACTGGAGGGATCCCATCATAGTCCACATCTGCATATATCGAAACCCCTGGACCCGCGCATGCTTTCAACCTTTCTATAATTATGTTTAAAATTTTGTTGTGACGCATTGTGAATCTTTTAGTGCTGCCACCTAATTGCAATTAGACAGAACATGTTTGTTTGTTTTCCGCGCTTTACACAATGGACAGTCAGTCGTTGATGATTTGCTCCATCTGAACAAATTTGCATTTGTGGGGAGTTGTTGGATGAGACTTCTCCTAACAAATTTGAACAGTACTTCTGAGAGGTTTGCAGTGAATTTCGACCAGTGAGCAATTCTAGCTGCGGGAATCTGGTCTTTGATTACTTTTAAAATTGTGCCTTGGCAACGAAGTAGCGATAGATGTTCGAGTTCTGCATTTTGTTGTTTGATCGTTAACATGCTGAGTGCCGGTTTTATGTCCTTTGAGGAAGCAAATTGTCGATTTTTATATAATTGCTATAGGACTCGCTCCATAAACATTTAAGTTCTTCGTTGCCGTTTGATTTCAGGTAGCTACAGAGTTTTAATCTCAAAGATTCGGCAAAATTTTTGAGAGATCTAACGTTTAGGCCGCCTAGTTTATATGGGAGCGACAATGTCTCCGACAGACAGCTACTTATGGGCAATGACAGCCATGATCTTACTGTTTCGGTGATTAGGGTGTCCAGATGCATACTAATCCAAGTCAGTGAAATGTTGTACATGCGAAATTCAAACGCAAATTGAGATGGAAGATATTTTCTAAGGATTTCAAGCTTCCACTGAACTGTTGTATCCAGTTCACTGACGGTTGATAGTAATATTTTGAATTTGATGATCATCTGGTTTTTGGCGTTTGTGTTGTTGCCTTCGAAATCATATTTTTTCCCCAGATATTCGAAATAACCTCCGATGTCAACATGGAGGATTTTTTTGATGTCGATCGATAGCGTCGGAAGGAATTGTTCGTAAACCCCGCTGCGTTTTCGCATACCGAACGAGAAACACTTGTCAGTTCTCAAACTCATTCCAGTTGCTTTGCACCAAGCGTGATTTACATCTATGAGTTTTTGAGCACTTTCGGTGCTGTTGGCGATAATGGCCGTGTCGTCTGCGAACTGATGCCACGCTCTTGTCTTTAAGCTGGCTGGCGGACCCCATATGTACCTGCATTGTTGGTACTCTGTTTGTTCTATGACTTTCATCAGGGGGTTGAAGCAGAGGTTGAAAAGCAGTGGAGACACGGGATCACCTTGCAATACACCACGCTTGATTGGAATGAGCGGGGTTAGTTGGTCGCATCCGGAAACTGTGATTGAGTAGTCGGTATATATATGTTCAATTAGTTTGATAATTTGAGAGGGAATGTGATGAAAATCCAGAGTTGATGATATGAGTTTATGGCTGATTTCACCGAATGCGTTGCGAAGATCGAGAAGTGCGACGATAATGGTTCTTTGATGTTTCTTCGCATCGTAGAGTAGGTGAGTTAAAAGCTGATTATGTTCCGTAACACCATCTATTTTCGGGTAGAAGCCTTTTTGGATGTTTTTATTTATGAAATTGTTGATTTCTAAAAATTTGTAAATTCTATTATTTATAAAAGATGAAAATATTTTGTAGAGTGTTGGTTGCAAGGTTATTGGTCTGAAGCTGGAAAGATTGTGAGCGTCTCCCTTTTTGTGGATGAGGATCGTGAAACCCTTTTTCAAACAAATTGGGATTTTGCCTGACAACCAGCATTGTATTAATAGTTTGTGTAGAATAGTGCGTAATATAGGGCATTTTTTAAATGAAATTATCGAGATTTGATCGAGTGGGCAAGGTGATGATCTAGCTTTGTACTTGCGAACTATTGTAGATATTTCATGGTATGATGGAGGGCTTGTGTTGCAGAGTGTTGATGGTCTTTGTAGCTGTTGAGTCCAGTTTGGTAGTTGGCATTTTTTCTGGTTATCATCTGATAGTATTTGTTTGAAATAATGTGTGCAATCACTGACGTTGAACAACGGTTTCAAATTTTCTGTCTGGGCAAATATTCTTTTGCATGTCCACCAGAATCGTCGTTTCAGTTGAGACGTGATGTTACCACATGATTTACCAGATTTTGATATTTTTGTTGATAACAGTTTGGCTCGCAGTTCTTTACTTGTTGATCTGATAAGATTGTCAAAGCCCTGGTTGTTGCGGCCCAATAATTTTAGTTGCTTCAATTTATTTTTTAATTTTTTAATAGATTTGTTAGAACTTTTGTTGTTGTTGTTGATCGTTTGAGGTTTGATGGTGCCATAATTTAAGGCAAAGTAGTCGTAAATCATTTTTTGAAATGTATATGCAAATGCGTCAATGTCGTGGTAGCTTGGCAGTGTATGTTGTTGCAGTTGGAAGTAGGCGTTTGCTTCTGACCATTGTGTCGATGTTTTTTGTAGTTTGACGCCTGGCAGAGTTGATTCTATTGATTGTGTTGGTGAGGGTGACGAAGTAGATGTCGAATTATTTGATGGTTCTGATGGTTGCTGCTCCGAGGTTGGAGAGGTTGCATCTACGTCGCTTGCAGGGTTGTCTGCTAATTTAAGTTGATTATGCATTTTACATGAACGTTGGTGCATAATAAGGCCTTTTCTACCTTTGCAGCTTTTACCGCAGCAGCAAATAATATTTTTTTCCAAATTAATTGAACTGCTTTTACCGCAGCAGCAATTAATATTTTTTTCCAAATTAATTGAACTGTTATCTATAGAATGTGCATTATAAATATTAGGAGAAACTTCAACGTTGGATTTTTCAGCAGAACTTACAATGTTGTTATTAGAGTTGGTATTTTTTGCACAACGCCAGGTGTGTCTTTTTACTTGAATAAAATCCTTATCGCAATACGGGCATTTACTTGCATTAATTTCGTAAATTAAATTTATTAAAATAATTAAAATAAAATAGTAGACTTTATTAAAATTAAATTTTAAAACCACCGCCATATTCCACACAATTTTATCAACATAGTACAACAATTTTAAAACCAATTAATCAACTAAAAAAACGTAATTATGCATAAAACGGTAAGCTGTACGAAATCGGCCAACTCTCGTGTTTCACGTTCGCATAATAATAATAATAATAATAATAATGAGAACTCCTTTTTATTTTCATCGTAAAAACGTACATGAAATGAAAAAAAAAACAATAATTGTCAATGATAATCAAAATTAAAATATATATGTATATAGTAAAATGTCTTGAAATAATCTCCGAAGCTGGTCATCATATAAAAAGAATGTGTACAACGAGAGAAGGTTAGTCCTAAATGGTTCATTCAATTTGCATTTCTATCACAGTAAATACTATATGACGACGAAATTGCTGCATAAATAAGGTTATTGATAAAATCATCAGTCCATATTAAATTAATAAGAGACAAATCAAAAGTATTAAAAAAATCTAAAGGGGATATTTCAAATGTATTAATTGTAACGTTAGAGTGTTTATAATTATTGGTCAAATTATTTTGCAAATTATGGGAGTACTTCGCCATTTTATAGTCCTTTGATTTCAGAAAGTTTGTTTCATGTCAAACCGTGAGCTTCAGGAATTCAATGTTGCTATCGCAAAGTAGTGCGATGTCAGGACGTAGAGTCTTGAAGAGGCAGGACAGTGGCTGATACTTATCTTGATCCAAGTCTACATATATGGAGACATCAGGGCCTGCACATGATTTCAACCTGTCTAATATTATTGAAAGAATTTTGTTGTGACGTGTTGTAAATCGCTTCAGTGCCGACGCCGCGTCACAATTTGATAAAACGTGTTTGTTTGTTTGGCAAGCGCTGCATAGAGGACATTGTGCAGTGGATGATTTTCCCCATCTTTGAAGGTTGGCGTTTGTCGGAAGTTGTTGGATTAAACTTTTTCTGACAAATTTAAACAGACCTTCCGAAAGACATGTTACGTACCTCGACCAACGATCTATGCAAACAGCTGGGATGTGTGCTTGAATTAATTTTAATATTGTTCCTTGACATTGAAGGAATGTCAGATGATTTAAAGCTGTGGTTTGTTGTTGTTCTTTTATTGCTTTAAGCGTCGGTTTAATGTCGTTGGCGTCAGGAAGCATATTGTCAATTTTAATGAAGTCGCTGAACGATTCGCTCCACAGACATTTTAGCTCCTCATTTCCATTGGCTTTTAAATAGTTACGAAGTTTGATCCTCAAGGATTCGGCGTAAGGCTTGAGAGATCTAACATTTAATCCACCCAGTTTAAAGGGAAGTGTTAAGCTCTCTGACAGGCAACTACTGATTGGCAATGACAGCCACATTCTCACTGCCTCTACCACCAATGGGTCAAGGCAGCTGCCAATCCAGGTCAACGAAACATCGTATATCCTAAGCTCAAAATCCAGTTGTGATGGTATGTATCGTCTTAAAATTTGGAGCTTCCATTGTGCTGACGTATCTAGTTCGCCGATCACCGACAACAAACCTTTTAATTTACCGATTAGCAATTTCTAGGCTTTTGTGCCCTTTCCTTCAAAGTCGTATATTTTGCCCTCCTATTTCGACTTGAGGAATCCATCGTCTATTGTCAGCTTTGGAAGGAACTGTTCGTAAACACCATTTTTTTTCCACATGCCGAATGATGAGCATTTATCTAATCTTATTTTCATACAAGTTTTGTTACACCAAGCCTGGTTGATTGATGTCGATCAACTTTTGAGCACTTTCCGTGCTGTTACCAATAATTGCCGTATCATCGGTAAACTGCATCCATGTTCTAGTTTTCAAGTTGGCTGTGGGTCCCCAAATTTAGCCGAATTGTTGATATTCAGGCTTTTCCAGTATTTTCATTAAAGAATTGAAGCACAAATTGAACAGCAAAGACGAAAGAGGGTCCCCTTGGAGCACGCCACGTTTGACCCGGATAGGAGGTGTAAGTTGATCGCAACCTGAAACTGATATGGTGCAGTCGGCGTATGTGAATTTTATTAAATCAGCGATCATTGGCGGTATAAGATGATGGTCTAAGGTGGATGAGATTAGGTCGTGGCTGACCTCGCCAAAAGCGTTTTTAAGATCCAACAAAATGACAATTATTGTTCTTTGATGTCTTTTAGCGTCATTGATCATGTGTGATAAAAGCTGGGTATGTTCGGTCAGTCCGTCCATCTTCGGATAAAAACCTTTTTGGATGTTTTTATTGATAAGGTAGTTTGATTCTAAAAAGTTGTACATTTTGTTGTTAATGCAGGATGAAAATATTTTATAGAGCGTAGGTTGAAGTGTTATGGGTCGGAAGTTGGCCGGATCATGTGCGTCACCTTTTTTGTGAATAAGCAATGTGAAACCTTTCTTCCAGCATGATGGGATTCTAGAGAACAACCAACATTGCGTAAACAATTTGTGGAGAAAGGTGCGCAATATAGGACATCTTTTAAATGGAATAATTGAGATCTGATCTAGCGGACATGGTGATGATTTTGATCTGTATTTGCGGATTATTGTAGATATTTCGAGGTAGGTAGGAGGATTGACGTTGCAGGGCGTTGTGGGCGCTAGTGCGTTTTGTGCCCAATTAGGGAGTTGATATTTCTTTTTGTTGATGCTGTTTAGAATATTGATCCCGGTCTCTCTAAATCTGCCACTTATATTAGATTAACAGAGTAAAAATTTTGCTTGTACAATTATAGAAGTAGAATTTTGCCGAGCAGCGTTTGATTTCTACGCCGCTCAATTTTTGACCGAGTCAGCATTTAATTATCACACGTAATCTCGTCGGTCTCTCTTCTTGCCGAGATTTGCCTTTTTACAAATGATCCTTTTAAGGTAGACAACACGAAGTGAGTGAAAAGTCTTTTGCAACCTTCATGTCAACTGGTGAATCCGGCCTCATCAACTGCCAGCATAACATTCTTGCAACACATGTTTCAGCTTTAGTTAATTAAACCAAATTTTTAATTTAAAACTTCATATTAAAAAGAAAACCTTAAAAAATAAAAAAATAACTACGTGAATCCAAATTACATAAAGATCCATTAAACTTTGAACACTGAAATAAAAATTGGAACAATGAAAACGAAAGGAACAATCCGAAAAATAAGAACAACTTGAACAAAAGCGATCTAAACAATAACAATTTTTGGTATTGTAGCTACAGCCTTTTATTGGTTATTATTACCCGTTAAATATTATATAATAAATACATAACCGTAAACCATACAAATGTTTTATTTAAACTAGACATTATTTTCATTATATATATATATATATATATATATATATATATATATATATATATATATATATATATATATATGTTGGTAATAGACCATAATTTTTACAATATTCTATAAATTCTACCGAATGTTTGGCGTTAATATGTTTGTAGTTCGTTTTTTCAATTTTTCTCACTTAAGTTTTTTGGTGAACGTTTAGTTTATTAAAATTCAAAATAAACATATTTTCCGAATTCATGCTGCAAATAAGGCCATATTTCGATTCCGAATGAATCATCATCAGTGCTTTCTGCTGTTTATATAGGAAAATATTGACTTTGTCAAAATGAATTTAGATGGAGATTGACTTTGTCAAAGTGAAAACAGGCCAGGGTTGTGCGAAAGCCGACCGACTGACAGACAGGCCCAGTGAAAACAAGCCCTTGGTTGTGCGAAAGCCGACCAGACTTGACGGCCCAGTGAAAACAGGCCAGGGTTGTGCGAAAGCCGACCGACTGACTGACAGGTCCAGTGAAAACAGGCCCTTGGTCGTGCGAAAGCCGACCAGACTCGACAGTCCAGTGAAAACAGGCCAGGGTTGTGCGAAAGCCGACCGACTGACAGACAGGCCCAGTGAAAACAGGCCCTTGGTTGTGCGAAAGCCGACCAGACTCGACGGCCCAGTGAAAACAGGCCAGGGTTGTGCGAAAGCCGACCGACTGACAGACAGGCCCAGTGAAAACAGGCCTTGGATTCTGTGAAAACGAATCCGCCTCGTTGTTTTGTTTTCGTTGTGCTATTTGTGGACCTAGGGTTCTTTGCTGGATTCTATACTCATTGGTATAGTTTCACACGCAGCTTGGAATTTCCATAGGCTCCGATTTTTGTAATTTTTCCGCATTAATTTTATTTATTTCTTGGAGTTGAATCGACATCACCATCGGTTACACACGTTGAGGTTGTACGATTAAACGGCAAGAAACATATCCCAAGTTGCCCGACCCAACAAGAAGAAGTTTTAATTCCTGTATTCCAGTTTGTTCATTGACATTATTTTTTTTACATTATTCTAGAGTTCATTTAGTTCAATTCCTTTTCATTTACTTCCGTCGATTAATAAAATTGTTATCGAATATTTTTACGCGTTCGTGTGTTACTCAGTAAAATCATATAATTCGAAAAAGCCCAGTGCCACACAGAATTGGTCGAACTCACGATAAAAATATACACAAAATTATTGTCGGACCATAAAAAAATTCCCTGAGAAAGATAGAGGTAGAGATTACCTCACCACCAGTTGCTTTTTAAATTTCCGACAATATATATATATATATATATATATATATATATAAATAAACATATATAAACACACATATATATATATATAGGTTATAAAATATATAACTGTATAGGTTATAAATATATATATATATATATATATATATATATATATATCTATATATATATCTGTAAAGGTTATAAAATTTATATATATCTGTATAGGTTATAAAACTCCACCAACAAAAGCAACAACAATTAATAGTCGTCATCAACATCAACTTCATACTCATACTTCATACTCCGTTTTGCAGGTGCGAACGAAGGCCTGCCCATCCGGTATAGGTCCAGAGAGTCTATAAGCATGGTTATACAAATCATCGCTTCATTCATCTCCAGCACGTTAAGTTCATTCTACAATCACTGTTTAATGCATTCATTCATCCCATCACAATGGAAATCCATCACAATTCATCCACTTCCTAAAACAAAATACCCATCATCACCAATAGATTATTGCACAATATCTATCACCCCCATTCTCTCACGTATTCTAGAAAAATTCATTGTTAGGTCATTCATCTATCCATGTTTCAACCATCCATCTATCAAACCACTATTACAAGATCAGTTTGCATTTTGCCCAACAGGCTCATCTACATCCGCCATCATCTCTCTTACTTCCACAATAACATCTTTCCCTTAAAAATAATAAGTATCTTCATCTTATTGTTCTCGACTTTTCTAAAACTTTTGACACTCTCAATCACTTCTCACTTTCAAATACCTGATAACATTTACAATATTATAATAAATTTTCTTTCTAATAGGAGTCATTCTACTTTTTTTTAGTTCTACTCTTTTATCTACAATACCTATTAATTCTAGCGTAGTTCAAGGTTCTGTCCTTGGACCATCTATCTTTATCATCAATGCTTCTACCCTCAAAACTTTTCATAACTCTAATCGCATCATCAAATGCACTGACGACACCTACCTTCTCATCCCATCATCTAACTCAAACACCATCCATTCAGAACTCGACTCATTAACTACATGGTCAAAACGAAGCAATGTCACTTAATCTCAATAAATCATTCGAACTCATCATTCACAATAGCCGTAAGAAAATAACATTACCTTCAGAACACCCATCAATCATTTGCACAAGTCAATTAAAAATATTAGGCATAACATTCACCTCCACATTTAATATAGCACCTCATCTCAATCACATATCACAAAAGACTTTCTAACATTTCACGCACACAAAGCTCACATGGTCTCAGAAGCATCAATTTATTCGACATAACTAAATCACTCATAATCTCACGCATCGAATATGCAGATTCCTCCTAGTCTGGTTTTGCTACACAACAACAACTTCAGCAACTACAATCGTTCATCATAAAACTAATTCGCTTCAACTATCTACCTGCATCATCCTACCGTCAATCAGATATTCAACACACTCGATTCAAGACTGTTCAAGAAAGGGTAACAACAACCCCGTCATCCATCCTCTACTACAACCAATTAAAACTACAACACACAACCTTCGACAACGCAAACATAACTACCAAGTCGCCACCCAAACTACATATCCGGAAAAGACTTCATCACAAGACACCTCAAACATATTAACACTCAATAAAACTTTACCATTCACACAACTAGTTTTGATTTAATTAAACTTTATCAGAGCCTCGTCTAAGAAATTTTCACTAGGTGACAAAGTTTTAAAAGTTTTGGAAATGATAATTATAGTATCAATTCTTTTCAAATCACGGGTGCCTAATAGATATTGCATCAACTTTCTAATGAAAATGAAGTTTTTTTCATGGAAGAATACAATTCTTCAATCTTGCGGTAAAAACATAAATTACAAGCCTAAGGAATAAGCTAATTTGAACCAGGAATGGGCTAATGACAAAACGTCTAATTTAAATTGTCAATAAAAAATTGTTCATGATTTTGTTTATGTAAATGTTGATGCGTTAAAAATGTACATGCACTAACTCTTTTGTCAATTTGAAATAAGTGACATTTTTTTTATTAACGACACAGTATCACAAAAAAAACAATTGATGTTAAATTAGCTAATCACAAGTTATTTTCAGTGTTAAAAAACTTTTTTACAAATTCCCCGTTTCGGTAAAGTTCATCATCTGGTAGAGTCGATCGTCTCGTTTTTGAAGAAAGAAAATCAGCCACCACTGGCCGAGGATCAAAATTAGCGGTACCTATGGCATTTAAAGCAATGCATAATCGGTCTTCACAGTCTTTCTCGACATAGATGATCGAAGGTCGCTTTTTAATTCTGTATAGCATGAAATTACCCGTTCCGTGATCATGCTGTGAGGGCAAGTTATAAGAAATGTTTGAACCAGCTTGTTTAAAAAAGACGACGGTGTTGTTTTTTTTTGTAATAAGTACAACTTGGCAGTATTGCTTTCATGCGGCTTAAAAGATGAAGCACCAAATGATGAATAGTAACCAACAGCATCATCTACAAATTCTGAAACATAATTATCACCAAAAATATCTGATACAATTTGCCGACCGGCTTTGATCATTGCTTCAGCATTTTCACCATTGGCAACATCTATCATTGCCTTTACTTGTAAATCCTGATCGACATCCAACCTTCTCTCAAGGAAGTTTTTTGCACATGTGATTACCTCAAGACGCCCTGCTTCAAAATTTCTATTGCGTGTTGTAACATACAAGTTTTTCACATTTCTCTGAAATGTAAAAAACTTCAGTTCAGCTTCAGTTTGCAGTGACTGTGTAGATGCAAGTCCACTATTATTTTGTAACTTTTCTTCATATCCCCCAGGATATGGACTGTTTACCATCATGGAAAGACGCTGAAGTATGTGGTCGCATTTTTGCATCAAATCAGCCAAGGTAACAAACGTGCGTTGAGCTTCTTTTTGTAAATCAGTGAACTGTCGCAAGATATCCAAAGCAACAGCACTCATGTTTAAGTTGAATGAAGTTTGGCACCAATTCTTCAGAAAACCTCTTGCTCTTTTGCTTTTCATTATTTTCACCTTGTTGTACAACTGTCTTCCAGTAAGCGCACATCATCTGATGATTAGACAGAACTGCAAGTACAACATTGGCAAGGTGTTCCGCTAAACGAACTTCATGATGCCGTGGAAAATGTTTAGCAGTCTCACCCAAACTTGCAGCAATTTCCTGCAGGTTTTCTTGACGGTAGCTTGATCCACGAAAACAAGTAGCGACATTTTTTACATCTGTTAACCAATGACGAAACTCCGGAACTACGTTTTCAACGCTTTCAAAAGCCAGGTCAGATCTGTGAGCTATGCACCAAAATGTCAACATGTTGTGCCCTAAATACTCTGACATCTTTACCCACAACCCTCCGTGACGTCCAGTATTTGAATTTTCCCCATCTGTCGTAAGACCCACCATCTTTGCTTTAATGACATCTTCAATTTCAAGATACTGGAAACGTTTCTGCAAAGCATCGACCACCCCAATTACTCCTCTTAACTCACTGTGGCATTTGCCAAGAAAACTAGCTTTCATCTCAAAATTAGTGTTTTACATGTATCGGGCAGTAACAAACAGACTGTCAGCATTGTATTTATTAACAGATTTCTCAATTTGCAGGGCGACACAGTCTGCGATTTTCAATGCTTGAATAACTCTGCTCAATTCATGCTTGGACACAAATGATATTATCTCTCTGTACCGGTCAGGATTTCTGTAACGCAATGCTGACTGGGGTGGATTAAACGCCACAAAGTCACAATCAAGACCGTGATCAATGTATTGCTTAACTTGGTTTTTTGCATGCATTTGTGCTAGTGAACGACTTGGCCAAGACCAAGCTGACAGCGTTTTGGTTACTGAATCATTGTGTACATCAACTGTAAGGTGAATAAGAGTTGATAGTTCAATATTGTGTTGTTTCAAAATTTTTACCCATGGATGTTTGTCAGATTGTGCGGTCCATTGCTTTCGTGCAAGATCGGCCCGTTGTGCAGCACTATGAGCACCACCTTTCAAGTGATCAATAATTCTTTGAAGCTGTTGCATGTCGTCACACCGAACACCATTAGCTATTGGGACAGTACCATTTCGAGCATACTTTTTAGCTTCAGAAATGTTATCGTAGCACAGTTTGCATTTTAGACCTTTACGAGAACCCAGTTTTATTGCTTTCAGTTCTGAATGGTGTTTCTGCAACCAAGCAGCATCAAGTTTGAAGCCTTTGTACCACTGTCCAAAAGGTGCAAAATCTTTGGAGATGATCTGATCAAAAGGTAACGATGTATGTGTGACTTGAGAAACACATGTACTTTTAATTTTGGTGCTGAGATACTATTTATTACTGATGTAGAGTGATCAGGTAAAGTGGTGTCATAAAAGATATCTTCAGGGTCAAATTGTTCATTCAGATTAGGGACTGTTGTTGCAATGGAATGGTTAAAAAACTGTCTATTTT